TTTTTTTTTTTTTTTTTTTTTTTTGTCCTTTTCTTATAATTTGAAATGAATTGTAAATTTTTTGTAAAAACGAGGGTATGGGCTGAAGATACATTGCTAAATTAGGCCCAACATTTACGTATAAAACTCCAGTCCACAAAAGGACTTCTCCTTTAGAATCTACTTTAAGTTACTTAATAATTTAACTAGTTATTAGCTAATATAATGGCAAATACTTTTAAACAAAATAAATTGTCATGATTTGTAAGTATAAATGGAAATGGGTAGAAGTCAAGGTGAGTCAAGCAACATGAGACAAAATGGTTAGAGGCCTTTTACAAGAAAATTATGAAGCAAACTAATCATCGAAAGTATTATTATTTAAAATTGTGATAAAAATCAATAAATATCGGTGGTTCAGACAAAACCACTAAGAGCAATATCGTCAATGATCACTGATAAACCTGTGTCGACGATTGTCGATCACAATATTGTTTGTGATAATGTTTGCATCCACCGATGATACTCTTGTCCCTAGTCATCGACGCAAAGTCATCATGATCATGACCAAATTCTTTTTTTGGTCATTGATTTTCTCTCTTTGTTGATGCATTTTTGGTAATGTTTGTCAATTTATCAGTAACTCATCAGAAAAAAAGAACATCGATGCACGATTTCTCTCTATTTTTAAACAATACATTCTCCAAAAAAATCAATTTTTACAGAATCTATTCTGAAAAAGTATACATCAAACTGACTCTTAATTTTTTAATTGACAACATCTTGAAGATGTTAATATACATATAATAGTCAATAAACACATAATCTAGTGGCAAACTACTGTCATTAACCCTGAAATAATTATACACAATCAACCTGACTTTTCTGACATTTTAAGGGAATATTAATTCAAAAGAAGCACAACTATACCTAATTGTCAAATCTATAAAATTAATTCTCATAATTTCACAGACTTACCTTTTTTTATGCTATGATCAAACTGAACTAAGTTCTTCATATGTAAACTCGGCTGTTTTCGTCGTCGAAATCTCGCATTACCGGCGACTCTTCGTAACTCGTATCGAATAAGAATCCATAGTCATCCTCATATTTAGTTTGCATCATTTTACAGCCGGAAGGAGTTTCAACATTCATCTCTTGAGACAGCTGATGGTAGTTACTCCGGTCGACGACGTCCGGGGCCAACAAATCGAGAAAAGTGCTAGGGTTTTGGCCTTGATCATAGAAAGTTATCGTGTTTTGGTCGCCATAATTAGGCAGTGTATATTCATTTGTATGAGGAGATGCAGCCATATTAGAAGTGGTTGAATTATAGAAATTTTGTGGGCTGAATTGGTTGCTATTCTCACTCTTGCCTTTGTGAAATACTCGACATAACACCCAGTCTTCCTGTCAACGTTCGTAAAAAATATATATATTAGGTGCATAAAAACCCTAATTTAATTAATACGTGTACAAATTTTATACTACTATGCATTTGGTTTTTAACTGAAATTCCTAAGAAAACTACATCAAGAACTGTCAATGTCAATGTTGTTTTTAGGGGAAAAAATCTTATCATTTATTATTATCTATTTATATTTTTATAACACTTGTGTCTTTTTTTTTTTAAAAAAAAAAAATCATATCAAGGGAAAAGGGCCTTTCCTAAAAGGAAAACAACAATGAGAAACGAATAAGGAGAAATAAATGCGTACAAGACTTTTTAAATGACCTAAAGAAAAGCAGATAGAATCTTGTTCTGTTTCCAATGAAGTGTCCAAAAGAAGTTTTGTTACATACGCATACGCATGACCTGTGTTTCTCTCTCTGTCTATAGATATAGAGTGAGAAGATAAGAGAAGCAAAACAACATTATAGGAACTAACCTTAGGAGGAACATGAGGGTTCTCAAGTCGAAATTCATGCATGATCCAGCCTGTTTTTATTCCATTAGGGGCCCTATTCTTGTAGAAGACTAAAGTCTTTCTCATCCCTACCGTGGCCCGACTCCTAGGGTCGAGCACTGCTCGGTCTTTTCCGGTGGCTTTCCAGTACCCTGAGGTGGTGGCCCGATTGGTTCGATACCCTGTTGCGTATTTGCGATCTCGAAAGCTAAAGAAGTACCACTCGTTTGAATTCAGCTTTGCCACCTCTACAAAATTATGCACACATATTAAGTACACCATAAAGTTATATACGAGACTAAAGACGTATACTTGAAGTGTAATTGACATAAACATAAAAAAAATAAAAAATAAAAATAAAAAGGGTATGTAGATATTATCCAAAGTGTATTCGAAACTTTATAACACATTATGTATGCGTTACAATTGTTTAATTATAATTGCTTGTTTGTCAATATTCGCCTAAGTGACAAAAGTTGGTTATGTGTCACAAAGATTCTCAAGGTAGGTCTTTGCTTTCACAAAGTTTTTAGGAAAGTCAGACGAAAGAATAGAAAAGTGTCTGAACATTTTCTACTAATTAGATAGGGTAAGAAGTCTATATCTCTCCTTAATTTCTTCACCTATACGACTTAAAAATTAGGATATTTACATCTATTTGTATTTTTATGAATCTCTTATATATCAAATTCCGTTTTAAAAAAAAAACACCCTTTTAAGTATAAACAAATATAATTTCCTCGATTTTTTATTTTTATTTTTATTTTTTTTTGCTTGCAGTGAATTTTTTTGAGCCGAAATGAATAATAGACTCAACCTGAAAAGGCCATATACTAATAGCATAATTACACAAATATGAAAAATAGGGGTGGACATGGGTCAAGTGAGGTGTGGTTCGAGTTAGGTGAAATTCAAACCCGAAACAAAACTGACAAGATAAATAAATCGATGCACCCAAACCCTCAAACATAGGTTTTTGGGTTGTTCCAAGCCAACCCAAAAATCAAATCGATCCGAGTCGGTTGGGTTTGATGGTTTGAATTGAATAGTGCTAATTTGTCCACCTTTATATAATCTCAATCAAAACATGGCATAGATATTCTCTTCATAGCTTTACCAGCTAGTAACGCGTTTTCATGTTTGACACATATTTTTGCCAAAAAAAAGGAGTCTTAAAGACAATTTCCATGTCTGTTTCTGAAAATGAGCTATAAATATTTACTTTTAATTAAAAGTAGGGATAGGGATTAAAGAAACAAAAAGATTCCTAAAATTAAGCATTATCTTCTGCACATACATTTACAAAAGGAAGCAAGTTCATTGAACCTATATTGTATATAGCCAAAATTTAGGACATTTATTTTCAAAAAAAAGGTTAAGGCATTTCTTTCCAGGAAAAGATGAGGGCTTTTCTGATTTCTTCACTCTTTCAGGAACAATTATGAGTCAATCTCAGGATAAGTTTAACCTTGTAAAAGCTAAAACAACTAGATTAATAACTAAAATCAAATAATGTCATGTCTAAACATATTTTAAAGGAAGGTTAACGAAATTCATATATTTGTATTGTCCTCTCTCTCAAATAAATAAATAAATAAATAAATAAAGGAAGAAGAAGAAGAATGAAGAAGAAGAAGGACTATTTTTTGTAGCTAAGCAGTGATACCTTCAGTGTGTATTTTGTTGCCACAATCATTCTTAATTATGTTTTTCTGACAACAAACAAATCAGACAGGAAAATAAAAAGAAAGGATAAATTGAGGAAGAAACATAGGAGAAATTGAATTTCACAACAAAAGTTGCACAAGAATATCAGTATGAAATGTTATCCAAAGAAAAAAAAAAAAAAAAGGAACCGCTGCCGTGGAAGGCGGGTTAGGGGGTGATCACTGAAGAAGAGAGTGAATGAAGGATTTACCAGGGAGCTGCCATGGCTCACAAGTATGAAGATCAATTTCCACTAAAGTACCCTTAAGAACTTGTTCATTAGCAATCTTTTTGTAAAGATAATGGCAAACAAGTTCTTCATCGCTCGGATAAAACCTAAAACCTGGTGGCAGTGTCTCTCCAATGTCTCTTAAGCCCATAATATTCTGTTTTAAGGATTATACGTGCCGATGAATATGTTGTCTGAAAAAAGCTCAACTCTCTCTCTCTCCTCTCTCTCTCTCTTTCTCTAATTTGTTAGGGAATAGAAAATATAAGATGTGTATACAAGAGAATGTATCATGCAATTATATATAAAGGTAGGTTGACAAGTACCAAAGCCAACACGAAGTTTTTACATTATTTTAATAGCTTCGTTAGTTATTTGGTCATGTATTAATGCGAACTTTCAAGAAAAACCAAAGTCACAAGAAATCATTTTGTGGGCAATAAAGAAGTAAAATCCAAACCCTATGTTGGGATAAAACCTCCAAAATACGTCTTTTAACTATAAATCACTAAAGAAAAATGTATTTTTGTGTACATTTTCCAACCCTTTGTCTAGGTGGGGTGTGGATAAATACAAACACTAAGAAACAAATAGACATATAATTTATCGATAAAATTAGATTATCTAATCAGAGTGATCTTTTACTTTCCATACCTACGGAGAAAATTAAGGATCAAAATTTAGCTTAACGGATAGGGTTATGAAAGGCGTAAAAAGAGTCTAGTGAGATTATCACGGAGACTCAAATTTATTAGGACTTCGATAATTAAAACATTAAACTATTTTACGAGTAATGTGATCGACTAATTAAATTCATATATAACTATGTCCATGTTCACTCTTAGCCCCTATTTGATAACCAATATTTCAAAATACATTTTTTTTTTTCATACTCATGTTCAAGCACGCATTCTCACAAAAAAATATTTTTCACGTAAATTCAAAACTTTTTTCAATTTTTTAACCACACATTCTCCAAAAATTTACTATTCAAAAACTCATTATTTCCAAAAAAAAAATGGCCGTCAAACAGGGGGCTTAATACTAATTTTACATTTTGGTTCTTAATTTAGAAAAGAAAATTTGCACTATTGGTCCTCAACTCTATGGTTTGCTAGAAAAGGGAATATTGTTTTAGCTACAAAAGCGAAGATCACAAATAATATTTATAAAAGATGTAGAAAGGAAAATACAAAGAAAAGCATCTCTTCAAACCCACATCGTCTCTTGTTTCGCTTCTCCCCATGGCCCCACCTACCCTACCCTCAACTTTGTCCCTGCAACCCTTTAGGTAATTAAAAATAATGGTATATCCACCTTGTTACTCAAGTATTTGACTTTTTGATAGAATTTTAGACAAAAATAAAACCACAATACTGAGTATCAAAATGCTCTATTTTAGTAGTCGGAGACCAAGCCCACAATTTTCCCTTTAAAATACAGATTTCTTCTTACTTAAATATTTCCTTCCATATCTATCATTTGCATATTATTATTATTAAGCATGCTATACACACACACACAGACGTACATACACACACATGTATACGTACATGCATATATACATACATACACATATATATAATGAATGATCAGAGACGCTGATGAAGATAAAAACTGGAAGGAAACAAACAAATTTAGACAGCCATTTTTGATGTAGAAATTCTAAATTTCTAATCATGCAATGAGAGAAGTCCATTCTGTCCAATCTTCATCTGCGTGAATAATTTGGATGAATATAAATTGTGGGCCATAATATTGTTTCTCATATGGGGTATACCAATAATCATTGGCATTAAATAATAAACTTCAGTAATTTTTATTTTTCGAAATTTGTAACGTTTGAGTATTTCAAGAAAAAAACTAATCGGGTTCAAATATTTCGTATTGATTCAGGAACAGAAGACCCGTTTTATTCAAAAATATTATAAAGAAAATTAATTTTTGGAAATGAGGACAAAATACAGCCCCTGTTTGGCTCCCATTATTGTGCAGTTGAAAATTTTTGGAATGGTGATTAATGGGAGAATGTGTGGTGGAAAAAGTAGTGAAAAGTTTTATATTTGTGTGTAATATTATTTTATTTGATGAATGTGTGGTTGTAATGAAGAGAGAGAAAAATTTAATGTAATGGAATGGAATTTAATGAGGGCCAAACAGGGGTACTTGTCATAATGTTGATCATAGAATGATGATAATTAGGTATTGACATTATGAAGGGGTCCATTTTGTATTCTTGGCTTGAAAGATCGAAATAATGGAAAGGAGTGTTACTTAACGAAAGCGATTAGTCTAAAATACGTGTCGTAAATGTTTGTTAAGTATAAACACTAATCACAATTAACCGACATCATAAATAATATGTTTACATTGTATAAACTCTTAGTCAAGATTATGTGGATCTCTAAATTCGATTCTGATATGAATGTTTGAAAAAATTTGAGATTTTACCCTATCGTATTTATTCTTATCTCAAATGAGGCTGATTAATAGCAGAATTATGCTATTATTATCCACTTAACAAAAAAATATATATATTTAATGCCATATTAGGGAAGAAATTCTAAGGGCATGTTCTCTTTATTTGTTTCAGACCATTTTCAGTTTTCAGTTTACGAAAACTGAAAACATGTTTACTTACCTATTTTCAGAAACGAATTTTCAAAAACGAGTTTAAAATTTATAAAGAAAACAGAAAACGCCAAAAAAAAA